GGGTGGGGATGGAAATACCGTAGGCTGATGCTGCCCACAAAGACAGTGCATCCTTAAACCTTCTGATTTCTGCCCTGTTCTGAGACAAGTCCCCAGGCAAGTTTGCTGCCTCTGTACCTCTTTTTTTTTTATTTCCCAAACCTTATCCACATCTAAAAGAAGCACAACCTAACTCCCTTCCTTGGTGTGACACAAAGGAGACACAGGCAGCAGGGACATTTCACAGTCTGTTAAGTGGGAGAAAATAACAGAGAGCCAGTGCAGCCTGAAAAAAGACTGGCAGAGAGGCAGAAAGCTTAGGATGAGCTCAGAGAACCACAGCTGTACCCCTGCGGGTCATTCCCTCCAGCACCGCTCCCAAAAAGTGGGCAAGAACCTTGAAGTTGTAATTTTCAGCCCCTTGACGCCGAAATGTCAGCAGGTCACAAGGTTTATGTCACTGGCCTACATTTTCCCTAGTTTGTATTCCTGTATTGAAACAACATTTTTATATTTTTTCATTGGTTAATCATTGCATTTTGCTCCTCAGAGTTTACAGTGCTTCAGAGTCTCAAGACACAGTGTTTGAGGATGTGGCCCCTTTGCTAACATCTCTCCTGGATGGGTAAGTTAAAAGGTGGGAGTAAGAAAGTTAAAGGGCAATAATCTACTGAAATCCATCAATTAAAAAAAAGGTCTTACTAGTGGCAGTCCTGTCAAGTTTTGTGGCTTTGCAGTTGCATTTTCCTGTTTTCTTTCTACTCAACACCAAGTGAATGTTGTTTCCCCATATAAACCGTGAAAACACTGTTTACAAAATTTAGCAAGGCAGACAAGTTGGGGGAAAAAAAAAATCAATTTTTCTTCTCTGATCTCTTTCTATCAAACCTGAGCATTGCTTTTAATGGAGGGATACTATCTTTAAAAAAAGATCATAACATAAGCTAAACCAAAAGATGTTTTGGCAGGTTATGTTTTGGAACTGTTTCCCAGTTGCAGACACAGTATGATACATCTTTTCCAACAGTGTATTCATATATGAAAGGCCTGCCTGGGCCACTCTCTGATCGTCTCTTCTGCTTTTGTGTACAGCAAAGGCCACAGGAGGTGGTCTAATCCATTCCTGGTTGAACCTGAACTGAGCATCCTCAGTCGTAGTTCTAACACTCCTTCAGGCACTGGGGTTCAAACAGAATTCTGGTTTGAATACAGAACTGATCACTAACAACCACTAACAAATATGTGTGATTACTGCTAGCCACTAAGTTCATGAAGTGTGGTTCTTCATTTATACTAGAGCAAATTTAAGGTACTCTTGCAAAAAAAGCCTTGAAGTGCATGTTGTTATAAACCTTGAGGCTTGAACGGAGATGTATGCAGAACTTCCCTTCTCCTCCTTTCTCACCCCTGCTCTAATTCCACTCAATTAGAGATGGTTGTTGTGGAGCTGTCATGGACCTTTCCCTCCCTGTAGAGACACAGCTAGTCCCTCTGCATCCACAGTGGCATACTTGAACAGTGGCAATCCTTCTTCCTGGCAGTCTGCACACTGAAGTTTCCACGTCTACTTTTCTTAAAAGCAGCCTAGAAGAGGCATATCAGGATATTGTGAATATTAGGAAATCCCTGCCATCCCTTTACACATAGAATCACAGGATGGTTTGGGTTGGAAGGGACCTTAAAACCCATCCAGTGCCCCCCCCTGCCATGGGCAGGGACACCTCCCACCAGCCCAGGTTGCTCAAAGCCTCATCCAGCCTGGCCTTGAACCCCTCCAGGGATGGGGCACCCACAGCTTCTCTGGGCAACCTGGGCACTGCCTCACCCCCCACACAGGAATAAACTTCCTCCCAATATCTAGTCTAAATCTCCCCTCTTTCAGCTTTAAGCTGTTAGCCCTCGTCCTGTCACTACACTCCCTGATGAAGAGTGCCTCCCCATCTCTCCTGTAGCCCCCTTTCAGCACTGGAAGCTGCTCTAAGGTCCCCCTGGCGCCTTCTCTTCTCCAGGCTGAACACCCCCAACTCTCTCAGCCTGTTCCTCATAGGGGAGGTGCTCCAGCCTCTGACCATCTTTGTGGCCTCCTCTGGACCTGCTCCAACAGGTCCATGTTTTTTTTTCATGCTGGGGGCACCAGAGCTGGATGCAGCACTGCAGGTGGGGTCTCACGAGAGTAGAGGGGGAGAATCACCTCCTTGGACCTGCTGCTAATGCTTCTTTTGATGCCCCCTGGGCATCGTTTGTGGGCTGCCAGCGCACACTACCGGCTCACGTTCAGCTTCTCATCCACCAGCACCCCCAAGTCCTTCTCCTCAGAGCTGCTCTCAATCCATTCTGCTCACAGCCTGTATTTGTGCTTGGGATTGCCCCAACCCACGTGCAGGACCTTGCACTTGGCCTTGTTGAATTTCATGCCACAGATGGGCCAACAAGGGCTGCCTGGTGTAAGGGAAGTCCTGTATGGGCCATATGGCATTATTGTAGTTTACCAAGGATGAGTACCCACGTAGCTGAGCAACCTAGGCACCACTAGCTTGGAGGGGTTTGCACAAGTCCTTATAACCACTGTTTTCACTCTCTGCTTTTCCTTTTGCAATGAACATGTTTCCTTTGGCTCAATACGTTGCCTGTGTATCTTCAGACATATCTGATCTGTACCTTGATCTGCTGCACTTCCCACTTTTCTCATTTCCACTTTGAGAGAATCCTGTCCTAAAAGCTAGGATTTTTGTATTCGGTTAGGAAATGTTCTTTTACAGAAAACAAAAGAGTTGTCTTGTTCTTCCAGAAGTGCCATTGAAACAGAAGCAGATTTTCAGGGAAGGTGAGGCTGTGCATAAAAGCCGTGTTTCTCAGCAGCCTTCCCATTGTAAATGGGAAACAGACATACTTAGTCTGAACCTTGAACCTTTTTGCTGCCCCTGATTGTTTTAGTCTGGCCTCCAAAGTTGTCTGTAACAACTTTTAGCTTAAGCAGAAAGGAATGTTCCGCTCCTTTATTTTTTTCTTTATTTTTCTTTCTTAATGAATTGTTTCATTTTTCAGTATAAATATGCAGGAAGATTGTTCCGTATGCAAAACAGACAAAGTACAGCAGGCTTCAAAGTTTACCGTTAGCCATGCAGGGCCAGCAAGGGAGTAAGATAACATTTATTTTCTTTACAGCACTGAAGATTCAAACTTGCTTATTTATTTTAGAGAAGAATACAATTCTCCTCCTTTGATTTCCTTTAACAATGTTATCCCCTAGTGATAACTTTGCTATACTGAACACCCACACTCTTTTCGGGGAGAAATACTACAAAACTGTTGGTATTCTAGCTTGCCAATAAGAATTTTTTTAAACAAGAATATAACTAATGAAGCAGAGTGGAGAAGGAGAAACATCAGGGCACGTAGGTGAATCATAGTCTGAAATTTTTTTGAGAGACTTCTAAAGACTTCAGTTCTGGTTTTTTTTCTAAGGAAAACTACTACTTGCAAACTTCTGTCTCCCTTTTTGATTCCAAACATCTCTTTGATTTTGAAGGCGGGCTAAAAATCTCAAGAAGCTACGGGCTGGCCAGGCAGTGTGCGTTAGGGGTGGAATTGTGACAACTGCTCATTGTTAGCCTAGCTGAGAACTACCAAAATCAGTGGGAGCTTTTCCACTGGCATAAATGCAAGTGGAGTTATGTCAGCAGTGAATACTTGGAGAAATCCCTTGTTTCAGATTTACAGCACATTTCATTTTGCTGTAGTGCTCCCTATTTTCAGTTACAGTTATCTCCTTTACTTCATCAAATCTATGACTAGACTTCTGTTTTATACTTTATACAATAAAGTGGAGGGACCTTACTATAGGTTCACTGACTGCGACTTTGACTTGGCATCCCCAGAAAGGGGTACCCAGGTACTTGCTTTGTTGCTTATCAGCCCACATTTCTGTCTAACAAGAGAAAGCTTTCTAAATAATCCTCCAAAAATAATTGCTTCTAGGCATGTTTAATATGCAAAAAAAAAAAAAAATTGCTGCAAATATATTTCTCTGCAGTGGCCACATAAGTATTTCATGACTTGAAACCATCAATTTAAAACAATTAGAAGAGGGATGTTCATTGAAATTTGCTGGCATATGCTTGAAACAACATTTTTGATACGAGGAAAAGCATCAGTAACCAAAAGCAGCTGTTCAGGTCTGCCCACAGAGGAGGTAGCTTAGGCAGTGAAATTTTATTCCCTGGCAGACCAGGAGCAAGCCCATTCTTGCAGCTCTCTAGTAGAGCAGAAATTCCAGCATCCTGCAAAGCATTCCTCCTGTATGGAGATTCTGCTAACATTGTGTCTAAATTCAGATCACCGCAGCACAGATGTCCACAACAGAGCTCACAGCGGTGGACTTTTAAAAATCATTTTCAGTGCAAAGGAACAGGGGTTTTCAGAGTTCTGTTTGCTTGGTGTATTTTACGTGTCTCCTTCAGAACATGATGAACCGTGTTTCACAGATGCCTGTACCCCTGCAGCCTCATTGTACATTTTCACCTGCTACAAGTCCACATCAGAGCAGTTCCCACCACCTTTATTCCAGACTGTGCACGCTTACACTGAACTAACGCATTTGGTTTAAAATTTGTACCTCTTATTATTAGGGCTGTCTTATCTCTTGCAGTGACGGAGGGCTCTGGCTGATGAGCCTGCCTGAGAAAGCCTATGAGAGCTGCAGATTTTACTGTTCCCAGCTGCTAAGATATTAGCACTGCGGTTTGCAGCATAGCACTGTAAGACAAATCAAACCCAGCAATGGTTTACTTTAAAATGCTGTACTGTAAACTGCAGTGGTCCAGGAGCTGATTAACAGGCAGCTCAGCAATGCGTGAACTGGAAGTTGGGCAGACAGGAGGTCTAACCTCATCAGTCACTCCAAGCTAAGCATCCATCTTTTGGCAGCTCCCTGCCCTTCAACTCTGCTTTAAAAAAAAATAAAAATCTGTTTAGGTGATGTTATGAGCAGCACTTTAATTTCTGTTTGATTTTGAGATCTCCAGGAAGAAATCTGCAGGGCAGTGTATTGATTTTTTGTTTCAGTTTATGTTCCCAAATTGTTTGGGGTTTGACTTGCCACCTAACAAACACATTTGGGAATGGTAAAATGAATGAATGCCCTTTTAATTTTCAGGTACAATGTGTGCATCATGGCTTATGGGCAGACTGGAAGTGGGAAGACATACACAATGTTGGGACCACAGTTAGAGGAGAACTCTGCATTCTCCATAGAAGATGAATCACAACTTGGAATTATTCCTCGAGCTACCGAAGAGCTGTTCAGGTAACAACTAAGTAAAGGCTTGTGTCAGTGTCAGACACCTGAAACTTTATAGAAAGGATGAAATAATGTTTGTAATGTATTTACCGTCACAGATTTCAGCTTCACGATGATTAATATTTATAGCTTCTCTGACTGACATATGATAATGTGAGTTTTGATACAGATTCCTAGCTTCTCTCCTACTTAGACTTATTTTCTAAGAAAATAAGATTATTCAGTCTTGCTGTGTGTTATCTCTCTGTCTTTCAGACTCCTAATTAACTTTTCAATATGTTTCAACCATAGCTATGGGAATCTAAAACATATTTAAGTCCTTGCAAGTTTTGTAAAAATTGACAATTGGAATAGAGGAAGAGGATCCAGATTAGAACCCAGTCCCAAAGAAGTATGATAGTAGACTTTTTAACTGCAATCTGTTCTTGCTTTGAGAATTCTTAGATTTTTTTAGTTGAACCTAATGCATGATACGAACTGATATGTTGCTATGTTATGATAGAAGAGCCATTAGAGCTTTTTCCAGCCAAGCCTATTTCTTTTGGAGAAGGATATAAGCGCAATCAAAAAGATCCAATTTTGTACCAGAACAACTGTATCTAACTGTAAATAATCTCCTGAATAGACAAGCCTTTAATTTATGAATTTTCTGGACAGATAAATTCTTACAGGTCTAGCTGGGCAGTTTACCATCTCTGCCTGTTCATTGCTTGCACCCTACCAGAGTTTATCATCCCTTGAGCTCTGAATCCAATAATATCCAGCAGAGAAATGGTATAAAAAATTCTTGAGGAGGGAGAGAGGGAGATTAGTGGAGAAAACAATTTAAGCTGGCACAGTTGTTTGGAAAATGAAATTAAATTTATTTACTTATAATTTAACTGTGTATTCTGATTCTTCATCTTAATGTTAGCATGTGGATGAGGCAAAGCCACAACTGTGGATATTTAATAAGCACTTTAATCAGATTGTAATTAGATTACAATTCAAGAATAGATCTTTTATTTACAGATTGTTCACTTGGGGTTTGACTTCTACATTTTTTTGGCTTTTTTCTTTCTTTTTTTTTTTTTTTGGTCTATTTTTATTCTCCAGGCTTATTTCAGAAAAGCCACCAGGAAGTTACTGGGTTGAGGTTTCTGTTGTAGAAGTGTATAATAACGAAATTTTTGATCTTCTGGCCAAAGACGGTTGTGGAAAAGTATCTGGCGTCAAACGTGATGTTGTCACAACCAGAGAAGGAAAGAGCGATGTTCCTTTGCTTACGTACGAGTAAGTACACGATTTGATCCTTATTATCCGATCATGATCTGGTGTCAATGCAATGCATAGCTGTCACAAAACTGTGCTATAGGCACCAGTTATCACTTCTAAACAATGAGTCCTTACCATATGCAAAAAACAAAATCGGATGGTTCTCAGTGTTTCCATTAGCTCAGTCTATTAGACTGCAGTTGGCTGCACATCTCAAAATACTTTCCAAAATAACAGTACAGTTAGTTTTGGTTGTACTCCTGCATTACACGCCTTCCACTCAGAATGCCTGAAGATAGCTGTGTATTTCCTTGTTGCTGGATCTAGGGCATCTTGTCAGCTGTAGAGAAAGAAAGCCACAAAGCACTTTCCCTTTAGTCTTACTGAATTATACAATTTACAGATTGTAATAGAAACATATGTATTTCTTGTAGATTTTTAAGTATCTGTAGGGTGTTAGCTTTCCCTTCTAACTTTCATTCCAAAACTTGCTCTTTTTAAGTTAAAAAAAAAAAAAAAAAAAACCTTCAGAAAGAATAAGATTGTAAGTGATCTTTTAATATAAGAACCCATCTTACACTGCTTAGTATTCTAAGGAGGCATTAAAGTGTGGGGTTTATGCTAGTATTGAATCAACATTAACAAAACCAAATTATGACAAGCAGACAGTGGCACCAGAGAGGTGATGCTACCCAGTGGGATTAAGCTACTGGACATCTCCCTGTGCATGCCCAGCATATGAAGGGGATTCCAGAAGAGAACATTTCTGCTTGTGCACTACAGAGAGGTCTAGCAACACAGAAAAAATGTTCTGTTCCTTGAGCAAATGTTTGTGAAAAGAAACATCTTGCCTTACTGAAATGTTTAGCACAGTATTACAGTGTTTTACATTTCTGGGGGAAACATGATTATTTTCTTCACTTCTCTGTAATAACGCTTGTCATGGGTCTAATCTCTACTTTTCCAGGAGGAATTAGAAGTCAGATATGAAAAACATTCCCCCCCCTCCCCATGAAAATAAAACACACCCGCAGTGTAAATAATTGAAGGCAGTATTTTTGTCTTGTGGGACTTGGTCACATAAGCAGACTAGTCGTTGTTTGTTTATGTGGGTTTATGCTATTGCCAGAAAGCCTTGATAAAAATAAAAGAATGTACTGGAGGGTTGCGCAAACATATTTTATTCTACCTAGTTGTACACATTTATTAACTTGTATTTTCTAGCCATTGAACAACTCATAGAAAAGTGGGATCCCAGAGAAATTGTAAAGTGGCTTTCTTCACTATGGGGGCTATATAACTCTTCTTTCTTTCTGTGAAATAATAATCACTGTAATATTCTAGGAAGGATTAACATTTGTATCTTGGCTATGCCTGCTTTTCAGTCTTGAGGTTAACTATGATTTCCAGAGAAATTCTGCATCGTTGATCGCACTCTGCATGCTCCATAAGAGCGTGGAATGAATGAGATTACATATTAGGAAGAAATTCCTTACTGTGCGGGGGGTAAGGCTGTGGCCCAGGCTGCCCAGAGAAGCTGTGGTTGCCCCATCCCTGGAGGGGTTCAAGGCCAGGCTGGATGAGGCTTTGAGTAACCTGGGCCAGTGGGAGGTGTACCTGCCCATGGCAGGGGGGTTGGAACTGGATGGTCTCTAAGGTCCCTCCCAACGCAAACTATTCTATGAAAAATGACTGGAGCTTGAAGTGATGAATCCTTTTGCCCTCCCTGTCTGTATTATGCCGACTGGTGGGTTTATCTCTGTCTCTGTCCTTGGATTTCCCCAGCTGTGACTCTACTCCAACTTTTAGCATCTGGTTAAGGCTCTGCTGTCAAGGGAAAGAGAAACTCCTTCAGAAGATGTTGGGAGTGGAGCGTAACCTGTGTGTGCTGAATCTTTCTTTGAAGGAGCTCATCTTTTTCCTTTGAGTAGAGAAGAAAGGAACAGTATGACTTAGAAAATGAAAATGGGTGCATATAGTGTGGGTGTGATGGGAGCTGAATTTTTCCTGCTTCATCAGAACCAGAAAAGTGATTTTTAATTATGGTATTTCAGTAACCAACATGCTGGCCTGGTTTTTTTCCTGAAAAATACCTATTCCCCTTCCCAAGGTAGCTTTGTGTAGTTAGTGGGTGACCCATCCCTTTTCCTAGGCTTTGGGGAAGGGAGAGGTGAGATGCAGATGGATTTGTGCCATAGAGGCAGGAAGTAGGAGCTGGAATAAGGTTTCATTTGTCCTTCTAGTTCATAAAATGACTGCTGGGTTTATTTCTGTAAATTTTAGCTTATGGTAAAGGAGCCGGGCGCCTTGAACTAAGCACCTCTGAAAAACCACTTATCTCAATCCATTGATAAATACTCAGTTCTAATTAAATATAAATAAGAATATGGACTTGTATCTCAATTACAATGCAAGCAGTGAAAAAAAGTCCAATTCATAAACAAGTTATATTAATAATTACACAGAAAGGTTAATAAGAAAAAGCAAACCCAAACAAAGTAAGGGAACCATTGAATGAGGCCACCCAGCTGCCTGAAATCTAAAGTAAACAGCTGGTGCTTTGAATAAAAACACATCTTCATTTGTGATAATATTTCATCTAGAATCTATTGGCCTGCTGGGTCTCCTTGGCTTCTCCATACTTCTATTAAAGTACAGTAGTCTCTTTCCTGCTAACATGTACATCTTACTGAATCAGAAAAACCTCAGTCTCTTTCTTCTTTTATGGCTTGGTTGACTTTGGAGAACATTCAGCATCAAAATTTTTAACCTAACCACAACAGGGCTTCTCTTTGTAGAGTCTGGTCCTGGAACACGCAGTACATACAGCACGATAAAGTCGTAGAGATTATACTAAAAAATTATTACTCTCGGTCCTGCTGAGAAGCTGCTGTGCCAAGCTTGCAGCACTGGGCTGCGGATGCTGTTTACCTCCAAAGTCCCAGGAGGTGACCAGCACTGACAGCACACCCTGAGGCCTGTCTTCTTCTGCAAACACCAGCTAGAAGACAGCAGCTTGTAGAGCACTGACCCTTGCCAGTGCACAGCAGCAGCGTGCAGAAGCCAGTTGCCTGTTGCTACATCCCAGTGAAGGCTGCTTACTGCTTGGGCCATCCAGTCTTGGCCGACCAGCTACTGGAAGATGCAGTAAAAAATCAGCAAGGCAGGATTTGCCTCCCTGGACTTGAGGCAGCAGCCAGATCCCCCCAGTGTGAGGCTCAGCATTCTCTGACGGTGGGAACTAGAGCCAGTGA